GGGGAGACAAGCTGCTAAGCAATTCCAGCCTCCTTCAGAGAGAAGAATGGAACGGAGGCTTGCAAAGAAATCAAGGAAGGGAAGATATTGTTTCAAAGCTGGGCTGCGGTGTGGAAAACTGTGGCGATGGAAGGAATCCTGGAGACTCCAGCAAGGAGACAAGATTATGAGCAGGCTTAATTGACTAATTAGTGGAAAATTAAAAACAGGGCTACGTCTGGAAACCACACAGAGCATATACCAGCTCCACCAAAATGTTTTTATGCCTGCAAATATTTGTACTCATAATGCCAGAGGGGTCTCAGCTTTCATTTCCAAAAGGGTTACTAGTCCTCATGACTGCGAAAAGAAGGCTGGAAACAAATAGGCAATGCTTATCACTGATGTCTCAGAAACCAAGAGAAAGCCATGGACAGAACTTTCCATGATCAAGAGTCAGGGCTTTCGACAACCTGTATCGCTCCCCTATTGCATTATCCTCATACTAGCCATGTCCTCCATCCCAACAGCTGCTGTTGGACTTCTTATTCTGCATTCTACTAGAGCAGAACAGTCGACATCCACAGAAAGACGCAAAAACGCCACTTTCTACTCTGATTGTGGTGAGGAAGGCCACAGCCAGCGCTGAAATTGTAATTGCCCTCCGTACGCACAGAAACATTGTGGGTGAATGAAAAGTCCTTTCTGTCAGGCAGCCAACAAGGCTCACTGCAATTTCTACACACCCAAAGAACTTGATGGGGAGCCTTGGACAAGTCAGTTAATGCCCCCATGTTTCCGCTGTCATCTGTAAAATGGGGTTAATAATGCCAAGACAGAGGTTGGCCAGCCCCACAGAATTTCTTGCGTTACAGAAAGGGATTGGACTATGCAACCTCAGAGCATCTAATGACAGCGTCATGGAAAATTGAAAGAAGGGCGCTGGCAGCTCGGGGTATTAGCAAGTCTGAAATCAGAGAGAGAAGACAGAGTAAGAGGGACTGCATGTCCTCAAACATGTTTCGAGTAGATGTTTTAAGACGCCGGGCAAAGACAAGCAAGCACAGACTTATGGTAGGAAAGAAGCTCTTTGTACTCCCATAATGCATGGAAGGTTAGAAGGTGCCCTTCCCTGATGCTGAGTTATGCCAGGGCAAGCTCATTATGTCCAGGCTAAGAAGTGGATATAAGCCACAGCCTAGAATTAGTTCCATCGAAACCAAGGCTTAAGAAACCACATTGGAACGATCAAGGTTAAATAAACATGGCCGGATTACAGGGCAGTCTTCTAATTCAGATCGGTATTCCAGCAATCTTGTGTGTGAAACTGGACAGTCATCTGAGTGGGATTGTGCAGATTAGTGACCTGAAACAGCAGGGGGTTGGACCCAATGGCCTTCTTGGCCCTTCCAACTCTACTAATCTATGAGACTCCTTGGTGTGGGCAGGGGAGTTAAAATGATACCTGGTGTGGAGAAAGCAGATGTAGACATTTGTCCCTTCCTCTTCTATCGCTAGAATTCAGGGTCACCCAAAGAAGCTGAATAGTGCGAGATTCAGGAAAGATGGAAGACGGGACTTCACACAGCACTTAAGTTAAAAACCCGCTTCCAAAAGAGGTAATGCCACCAAACTGGAAGGCTTTAAAAGGTGACCTGACGCATCCTTGTGGGAGAAGCCTACCGATGGCTACTAGTCCCGATGACTACAGAACACCTCCAGTGTCAGGGACAGCCCAGGAACATGGGTGCGAGGGTGCGGTTGCATTTATGCCTTGTTTGCGAGCTTCCCACAGGTAGCCGTGTGGCTATGGTGTGAGGGGAACACCAGGCCAGGCAGATCTTGGTCAGGTCCAGCTTGGGCTATGCTCTTAATACAGATGTCTCTTCCCATTCTTAAAAAAGAAAATTAGGATATTTTGAGTTCATCAAAGGAACCCAAGAACACCGCTCGGCAGGACCATGAATACCTGAACGTGGGGACAACACAGTAGCTTTGCTGCTAATTTTAAAACGCAGCTCACGGAATTCTCCAAGGCTTTGATTTTGCCAAACACGGTGCCAAGAATGTTACAGGAGGGGGACTTTTCTAAGAGGGTAGCCTGCATTCCCAACTTTCCCAAATTAGTTCTTCCAGGATGCTCATGCTTAGAAAAGTTCAAGGGACACATTTTGGGACTGGGCGCTTGCTTTTGAGGTCAGGATGCCGATTGTCTAATGCTGTGCCTAAACACGGAGGAAGCCCGGCGAAGATCAAAGATTACTGCATGATGGACTCCGTGTTCAACTGCAGTGTCTTTATGAAGGACTGACTCTGAGGACTACTGGGCACTCATGTTCTCCTAACAATCACAACATGATTCTGGGACTACTGGTGAACCTGCCCTATACTAGAAACAACCGAAACCTTATACTAAGGGAAACCCTTGGTCCATCTAAGCTAGGCTCTGACTGGCAGCAGCTTCCCAGGGCTTCAGAAAGTGTTCTTTCCAAGTCTCACCTGGAGATGCTGAGAACTGAGCCTGCCATAGGCAAAGCAGGTCCCGCCACCCCTATAAGCAGCTGCTCTCTCAGGTTTTGAGTTTTTTCCTACCTTATGACACCAAATCTTTTGAACGGGTGATACCAGGCTGGACTGAGCACTTTCTGCGTGAAAACACACGCTCTGCCACTGAACGAAACCCCTCTTTCACTTGGCGGCCCTGAGCTGGTTGTCCTGCCTTCCCTTTGCAGGAGAGATGATAAAAGCACTTGGAAGAAGCGTTCTGTGCAACCGGAGAGCTGGCGAACTCTCAGGAGGAAGGACAAAAAGAGCACCGTCTCTCCTGGGTTATCTGGGGCAAATGCAAGGTGTCCTCATTTTGAGTGGTGATGATGTGGATTTTCCAGCCACAAGTTTGCACTCATGCCTGCTTCTGACGAAAGAAGTTAAGCTACCCAGAAAGGGAAAATGGAGGAGACGGGGAGAGATTTAGCTCCTCTGTAAACACAGCATACAAGCAAACTGTGCTGAACTTCTGCTTCCCACTGTGATCAAGAAAGCAAACTGCAAGGGACACCGAGCCATTGCACTGTTCCAAAGAGAAGAGAGAACTCTTTTGCAAACCATCTGCCGGTCGTCTTCAAGATTGAGCTTTGGAGGAAGGATGGCCAGGACAGCCAAGGCAGCGATCGCAAAGAGAAACTCGGGTGTGCTTGTGCACTGCACCGGGGTGGGCAACACGTGAAGCGCGGCTGCAGGTACCACGCCCCCCTTCAGCTCCGCTCCCTTCTCTTGCTTTGCAGCCAAGCAACCCGTCAGAGGATCAGTGTGGGCTCCTGCGGGGACAACAGGGCTCCCAACGCTCCCTCGTTTTCTGCAGCTTTCCCAGCTTTCGCCTCGTTTCCTTGGAGCTCGTCCCGAGTGGCACAGAGTCCTCCGGCCAAACCTACTCCTGTTCCACCCAGACCCTCCTCGACTTTGGCCGGTGGGCATCCTCCGACTCCTTCCTGCTCGGTCAGTTGGCATGGGCCTGGACAGACCCACGTGGGAAGCAGAAGGGGGCAGTGTGTGCGTGGCTCTGCAGCACGAACCTACACCAGGCAGCCTGTCAGGGAGAGCAAGGCATCCGCGGCCAGAGGGAGGGAGAGGCAGGGCTCCACGCTACAGCAGCCTCAGCACATCCCACTCCCTGCCCCTGCTGAAAACAATGTCTTGTTATTTCTAGCCTGGGGCTGGAAGAGAAGGATTACACAGTCTTGCTCCCAGAGGCAAGGCGAGGGGGAAAAAAAACCTGTACAAAGGAAAACAAGGGCAGCGGTTTGACATTTTTTTGTTGTGGGTACTGTACAGCAGAGGAGAGCACGAGATATAAAGAGAGGGATCGATTGAAGGAAACTCAAGTAAAATCGTTATTGTCTTTATTCTGCCCATGCTCTCTTGCATGGTTCAGACGGCCCGGTACACGCATTCTTACACATGCAAGCTTGCCCGCCCCAGGAGCATCCCTCCTGCCCCTTCTGCTCAGGGCTGCAGAAGCTTTCGGAGAGAAAGCAAAAAACCAAAAACCAAGAAAAAAAAAAAAAAGAAGAAGAAGAAGAAGAAGAAGAAAAGAGAAGAGAAGAGTTCCAGTCTTTTTGGCAGCAATCACAGCGTGTGTCAGGCAGCGGATCCGCAGAGATGGGCACGCGGCTGACAGCCCGCTCCTTCCTGCATAAAGTATGAGGTGGGGAGGGAGCTGCAGGGCTCAGCCTTTCCCCTCCTGGGTCCCGCCGGGTGGGCAGGCAGGCTGCCTTCCATGTCCGTCTGCCTGCCCGTGTGATCTCTGTGCAAACTTGCGCTGAAGGGCCTCTGGAAACATCACGGCGGCAGACGCATGATGTGGAGGCGGCTGGTCCGACGCCCTGCAGAGAAGCTGCCGTTGGCTGTGCAGTCCCAGTGTGATGGGCCCAGACGGACCCGGTGCTCTGCCCTGCAGCCGTTTCTCAGCTGAAGCCCGGTCTCCGACCACGCAGAGGGACGAGGCCCAGGCGGATCCCCCCGTCCTCGCCATCTCCTGGTGAGGTGTGGCTCTAGCAGGTGTCTTCCTCGCTGGTGTGGGCCCCCCTTTCCTCTGGCCGGGAGCAGAGGTGGAGAGGTGCGCCGTGGCAGCGGCTTCTGATGGGTGTGCCAAAGAAGGGCACCGGGTTGGAGAAACCTGAAGACGCAGAAATCTAAACGCCAGCAGCACTCTTGGAAGGAGGTGGTGAAATCAAACTTCCACATGAGCGAAGGAGTCCAGGGTAGGAAGAGGCCGGGTAAAAAGGTAAAGGTTTCTCCATGACATTAATGTCCAGTCATGCCTGACTCTAGGGGGCGGTGCTCATCTCTGTTTCCTAGCCGAGGGAGCCAGCGTTTGTCCGCAGACAGTTTCCGTGGTCATGTTTCCGTGGTCATGACTGAACACCGAGGTGCACGGAACGCTGTTACCTGCCCACGAAAGTGGTACCTTTTTATCTACTCGCATTTGCAGGCTTTCGAACTGCAAGGCTGGCAGGAGCTGGGACGAAGCAACGGGAGCTCACCCTGTCTGCGGATCCGAACCGTCGACCTTTCGATCAACAGCCCAGCAGCTCAGCAGTTTAAACCACTGCGCCACCACATCCCTAGAGGCCCAGTTCGTCCTCGCATAATCTGTCTTCAATATGAAGACGGCATTGCCGGCACACAATTCCAGGCGTGCCACAGCACAAGAAGAAAAAGAGGGCGGGGAGGGATTGCTTCTCCTCCCCCTTGGATGCCTTCCATCAAGCTAGGATCATCCTCGTGCGTTCCACCAGAGGTCTGTTGACAAGCCAGGAAGTTCCACGCGAAAATAAGAAGGCGAGGGGAGGAGGCAGGAGACCTCCTCCCCCAAACTCAGGAAACTGGGCAGCACCACAAACTAGAATCCTAGGGAGAGTTCCCGGTGGGTCCATGCCAAACCCAGAGTCCCTGGCGGTCAAACCTGAACTGGCAGTGTCTGGTTCATTTGTAACCGCATGTCCTGTATACTGCTCAGTATCTTCTTCTGGTGTCCGGCTAGTGTCACCCCTATCCTCAGCAGGTCCCTAAGAAGATAACAGGAGGAAAGGAGTCAGCGACACACGAAAAGGCACCCACGCTGCCGAGGGCGCATGCAGGGGGAGGGGTTTCTGCAAATGGTACGTGCAGCGGGTGCGCAGAATCCCCCCGGCAAGGGCAACCAGAACAACCAGCAAGAAGCGTCCTGGCTAAGGAGTGTAAGCTGGGGATTCCAGGGCTCCAAAGGCCACACAAATACCAAGGATTACGGAGTGGCACCAACTGGCTTGTCTTATGAACTGGCTTCTCCAGAGAAGCGCCAGCCTCCCGGTGCTGCTGCTGCTTCCTGTTACACACTCCATTTATGTCCTTCCTTGTTCCTTGGTGGGGAACCCAAGGTGGCTCACACAGGTGCTCACAGCCCTGCCAGGTTGGTTGGGCGAGATGCCATGGCTGGCTCCAAGTCACCCAGTGAGCTCCGTGCCCAACTGGGGACTAGAACCCAGGTCTTCTGAGTCCCACTCCAACACCCTAACCACTAGGACACACTACCTTTCCTGTCCTCCTCATTTACCCTGGTTTTTGGAAACCCCAAAGAGTACCAAGGCCACCTCCAAGGAGCTGGGGTGCTGTGTGTGTGAACAGGGCAATTATGTGTCTCCACACCCAGAGGACATTTCTCCGTACATGAGGAAATCATTTTTCGTTCAGGGTGTGTGGGGAGGGCCTTGGTTTAACAAAAGGCTAATTCAACGTCTTTTGTTTTGGGTGACGACAACGCTATTGGGTTGCTTCAGGGGCCTGTGCACGAAGGCTCCGCAAACGCCCCAAGAGGCAGGCGAGCGGCAGGCCTGTTCGTTGCTGCCACCGCTCCCGCTGGGCCCCCTGAAGGGCATGTGATCAGCAGAGCAGGCCTGCAGCAAAAGCACCGCAGCTGCCTCCTGGCTGAGGCGCACCCGGAGCGCCCTGCCGATCAGGCTGAGGCGCACCCAGTGCGGCATTCCTCACACGCCGGGTGGCCCGCCAGAGGCGGACCAGAGAACTCCAGCTGAGCCGCCCCCTGCCTGGCGGGGTGCAGCATGCAACCTAAAAGGGTTTCCTAAAAAGACCGTAGCCAAGAGAAGATGCCTGCAGATTTTGGTCCCTTCCTCAGGCTATGATCAAGATCTGGGGCCTGCCTGTGGCTCAGCTGCGACAACCGAGAAGAAGGTCTTCTCAGTGGTGGCCCCCCGTTATGGAACAAGCTCTCCACTGGCACCAACTCCGCTATCCTTTCGGTACCAGGATAAGGCTGTTCTCGCTGAAAGGACACTTTATCAGTCCAAGTAGCATTTTGGGGGTTGAAGGGGTCTTATGCCTTAATTTGCGCTAGTTACTGTCCTTGTATAAATTTGGCTTTACATCAGTTTCCAAATCCTGTTGTAAATTCTAAAGACGCTTCACTGTTTGCATTTTTACACTGCATTCTTATTGTATGTTATGTCCTGTTGCATTTCATGTGTTGCCTGGACAGCGCTGGCTTTTGGTGGTACAGCAATAAAGTCATCACTGCTCTGTTGCGGGGGTGTGCCTAACCCACAGGGGATCTCAATGTATCCCCCTGAGGGGATTTCCCACAGCCCCCCCCCCCCCACACACACACTGCCTTATTCCCCAGAGATGGACTGCTCCATCTTTTCCTGGCTTCTGTGTAGACTGTTGCCCATTCTGAAAGGGCGAAGTGCCCCTTCTGAGCCTCGAGTGACTGGCAGCTTGCCTGCGGCTCCAATTACCACCAGAATTCAACCCCTGGGATTTCCTCTGAAATGGCATTTGGCCTGCGGGCTGAGGAAGGTTCAGCACTGCTGTGCTGCTGGTTCGCCTAGAAAGACCAGTATTACAGAAAGGCAGCCACCGCGTTTCCTCTGCAGCGAGGGGAGGGCAGCGAGCATGGCAGCCCCACGCTCCCTCCCTCTGTGGGGCCACTGCGGGGCTCCTGCTGCTCAGCCCGGCTGGGGCTGAACTCCCGGGAGCTGCCGTGGCTAGTAAGAGCCTTCCCGAGAACACAGGAAGGGAGCAGATTCCATCCCGTTGGCTGTGGACGCAACTCCGGGCCACCGCTGGCCAGCCCTTCGGATGCCCTTCCCGACTTACTCTGCCGTCATCTGGGCCACCAAGTCGAAGGAAGCAAAGCCTGCGTTGACAAAGTTCTCTTTGTACCGTCCCATTTTGATAGCGTCAAGCCAGTCGCCCACAGTAGTGAAGGTAGTGTAATCCGGCACCGTGCGATCCAGGAGGGGCTGAGACACGCTGCGAAGGACGAGAGAGCCCAGAGGTCAGGCAGGGCGCAGGGGGTGGGGCTGCGGGTGGCCGAGCCACGGGGACAAGCCTGGAAGTCCTGCGGCACGCTAAAGGGGCCATCCGTCTCCCTGTCCACCCTGCTTGCTCTTCGCTCAGGCCCTGGTTGCCGCCTGCCTCCAGCCCCCACGGTTACATCCAGTGTTTTTTCTGCCACAAACCATGAGAGCTAGCGACTTGGCACTACTAGTCCAGACACAGCAGGTTGCCTGTGCTTGGAGAGGGTGAGGGGGCAAACGACACTGACCCAGACTGCACGCTGGCGATGACTTTCAGGCTGGCAGCGTTGCGGATGAGTTTGTCCAGCGTGTTTACGATCTGTGCAAACTTGGGGCGCAGGTTGCGGTCCCGCACCCAGCAATCCAACATGAGCTGGTGCAGGGCCGTCGGGCAGTCCATGGGCGGCGGAAGGCGGTAATCCTGCTCCACGGCATTGATCACCTGCACGGACAAGGAAAAGCGGGTCGCCGTTACTCGGAGCTGGGCGCTGCCGTCCTCCATCCTGCAAGCGGTCCTCGGCCTCCGCGGGCATACTTACGTCCTGGTTGGACATGTCCCAGTACGGCCTCTCGCCGTAGGACATCACCTCCCACATGACAATCCCGTAGCTCCACACGTCACTGGCCGAAGTGAACTTGCGGTAGGCGATGGCTTCTGGGGCAGTCCACCGGATCGGGATCTTGCCGCCCTGGGAGAAGATACACTTGACCCCATTAATTAGTGCCAACCTCTGGTCTTCGCTGCAGCCTCGGCTGGCACTCCTGGGACAGTGGGCCCTCCACACTTCGACCCCACTCCCGCCCCTACACGTGGCACCAGCACAGCAGATCCGAGGGAACGGCTGTGTTCCCAGAAAAGCTGGGAATGCTGCAAGGTCCCCCACTGCTCTTTCCTGGCCGCTCCCTAATATTCCCTCAGGTATTCCTGTGGAAAAGGAGGCCGTGTCGTGCGAGACAAGTAGGCAGTCAGCAGCTTCGTGTGACATATTCCTTGCTGGACTGTCCCACTGTGCTGTTTTGGTGGGGGAATGGGACGTTTGGTTTCTCCCTTACAGGGCAAGGGGGACTCCAACCCAGCACACCTCCAACTGCTGCTGATAAAACAGCTGTGGGAGCTGCAGCAGCAGCAGCAGCAGGGAAAAGGCGCCTGTTTTGCAAAGAGACAAGGCACTCCTGCCCGCAAGCAGCCTCCTGCGCCCGGGGCATTTCTAGGTGTGCTGCTCCATCGGCACTCAGCCCCCTGTACTCCTTGCACCATCTCTGCCTTTCTCCTTTTCTTTTGCTGCTCCTGCTGCGATTTCAGGGGGTGGTGCGTCTGACAAGGCAGCCAAGGAAGGCTGCACGGCCTGCTTGGCTTTTCCCTTCTCGTCCCTCTCCTATGGGAGGTTGGACAGCCCTGTTTCAGTCTGTCCTGAACCAACCGTGTCCCTCAAAGACCCCCGGCCGGATCTCATCGTCCGAGGCCTCCGCCGTCCTCGCCTTTAAGCGAACGGCGGTGGGCCTCCTCTGCTAAAGAGCTCTAACCCGAGACTGCAGCTGGGACGCCGGTGCTGCCACGAGGGAAGAGACGGGTCTGCCAACAAGACGGTCACATACCAGGGAGCTGGTGTAGGTGGGGTCTGACGGGTCGTCTTCTAGGAAGCGCGAGAGCCCGAAGTCCGACACTTTGCACACCAGGTTGCTATTGACTAGGATGTTGCGGGCTGCTAGGTCTCGGTGCACGTAGTTCATCTCCGAGAGGTACTTCATTCCCGCTGCGATGCCGCGGAGCATGCCCACCAGCTGGATCACTGTGAACTGCCCGTCGTTCAGCTGCCGGGGCAACAAGCACGGGTGGGTCAAGGGAGTCTGGCCGGGAGGAAGCCCTCGGAAGGGGCTGCAAAGACTGCCTGCCATCAACTCTTCCGGCTTCCGGCACCGCAACTCCACAGCAATCCGGTTGCACGGTTCCTCCACACCCCCATGAAGCCCAGAGCTGATGAACAGTATTTGAGATGGCAAACCCGGCAACAGCCATCCTGTGCTCTCCAAAGCCAGAGGTCTCGGATTGCAACCTCCGGCATTCCCAGCCCAGGCATCTGGAGAACACCAGGGTGGGCAAGGCTGCCTCTGAGCAATAGCTCTGCATTTGCCCAGGTGGGACAAGGCTCAGCAGCATCTAGCTAGGTACCCGGGCATCTTGCTGGCATGTGCTGCTTTGGAGTCAGGGCCCTTGCTAACGGTTCACCACCTGGGGCAACTCCAGGAAGAAGCTCCAGAGGGTCCCGAGCTCCTTGTCCCAACAGAGTGATGACTCCTCATCAAATCAATGGGTGCGCACTCTCCTTCAGGAAGCCACTGGAATAGCGTGAGGGCGGCTGTGTGATGGCCTGGGAGTTTTTAAAGCTAATGGTCCACCTGATCAGCAGCAAAAACTAAGTTTGGAAGCAAGGACTCCATGTGCTTTAGAGGAGTCCTGCATTGGGCAACACAGCAATAACATGACTCTGGGTTGAAAGCATTCACTGCCACAAATAGAGATGCGCTCATTCTGTGAAATATAGACAGCTGGCGCAGAATTTGGTGTGTTCAACATCTCAGCTTCTTTTCTTTTGAAAAGAAAGGCATATTTCTTCTGGGCCAGGAAGAAATGATTGAAAATGGGGGAACAAGGCCTGGTTAAAATCAGAAGAAAGTACATGAGAGGTTTCCTTGTAGGATCCGAATGCCAACCTCAGTCAGGGCTCTTTCTCCCATGACTAGCAAAGGTGGAGTCAGTTATGTAAAATAAGCAGAGTTAGGTAAAGTTCTTCCATTTGTACTGTTTGTGCCAGGATTGTTTTTCTCCTTAGCAGAGAATATGCATGAAGACATATTCATGAAGAATATATGTGCACATATATTCAGGCTTCCTACCTACCTACCTTCCTACTTATCTCCAGAATATACACAGCTCTGTCTGGAGTTTTTAAAGCTGCAGCCCATTGCAAAGGAAATTATTTGTGTAGGAGACCACAACCTGCTTATGTAGATAAACAGGGTTATGTTTTGCATACCGAGGAAACCATGAGCTGGACATGTTCTTGGGAAGGCCACCGACTTTCCCTTACCCGCAGGAAGGAGTCAAGGGCGCAGTTTTCCATGAACTCCGTAACAATCATGACTGGCCGGCTCTTGGTGACCACACCCTCCAGGTGAATGATGTTTGGGTGGTCGAACTGCCCCATGATGCTCGCCTCGCTCAGGAAGTCCCGCCTCTGCCGCTCCGTGTAGCCCACTTTCAGCGTTTTGATGGCCACGAAGATCTCCCGCCTGCCAGGCAGCTTGAGACGGCCCCGACAGACTTCCCCAAATTCACCTGGAATGGAGCGGAGGCAGAGGAGAACGGAAAAATGGTCACGCACCAGACCTTCTGCTGCAGCCTGCCTTTCCTTCTCCCCTCTTTCTGCAAAAATCTGTTTGGCTGAACTAGGCTGGCTCACCTGCTCCGATCACCTCCTCGATTTTCACACAGGAAATGTCGATTTCCTTGGCAAACTCCCGGACAGCTTCATTGGGGTCCTCATAGGTGAAAGGATCAATATACACCTTCATTCCTGGAGTGACTGCAAGGGCAGGGAGAAGACGAGCTTTGCATAAGCAAGTGAGATGCACAAGAGGGTTATACTTAAAGGCCATGCAAGTTACGTTCTCCTAGGTTATTCCTGATGATCCCTGAGTTTAGAAATCTGGTAGAAAATTATGCAAATATAAACACAATTTGAATTGGCAGATGATTCATACACTTCAGAAGTCTTTAATTAAATGGTTTTCCTAAAGGGAAAAGTGGTAACTTGCAGAGCTTTTCCTCACTGTGATGAAGACTAGAAGCGTGCTTCTTTTCCAAAACGGAATGAACAGAATCCTAGAAATGGAAGCAAGCCACGGGCGACTGCCACAAGGAGCCGCTTCTCCATAGCACCATGCAGACTTCCAGCCTAGCTGCGAAGCTCCTTGCTGTGCATGCATGCAAAACTGAGGAGCCAGAATCCCCGCCCTGCTGCAGCAAATGCGAGTGGAAGCAAGCACGGGGGGGGGGGTGGGGGGACGACCGCAGCACGCACACACAAAACCTCAGCACGCACACGCAGCCTGGCTGGGCTGAAGCTCACCGTATTGCTGCAGCTTCTCTGTATACTCTGAGTCTGTGCTGCTTTGTTGCTTCCTGCCCAAAAAAGAAAGAAACGTGAAATCAGATGCATTGCAGCGTCATTTCCCTCCCAGGCATCTTGCGAAGAAGATCTAAGCTCTGGAACACCACTCCTAGGGAAGGCAAGACTGGTACCCCGCCCCCTGCTGTGTTTGCAGAGGCAGGCAAACATCTTTCCGTTCTGGCAGTCCTTCAGGAACCGTCTGGACCCGTGAGACTGCGTCGGACTAGTTTTATTCTATGCCATTATTAGTGCTTTCAATGTTAGCATTTTATAGAATGTTAATGTTCTAGTAGTTTAACTATAACTTTAAATTTTGCATATTTCTATTTATGTTTTAATTGCTTATGTTTTAATGTTGTAAGCTGCTTTGAGCCTCAGAATTGGCAACAGGCGGGAAATAAATAAATAGATGCACCCAATCACTCTCTCTCACACACACACAGCGATAATGTGTTTCTACCCTTCCTGAAAAGCTGAATGTTTATTCTGATGTCAGTATTAGGCCCAGAGCGTGGTCTGAAGGTACACCAGGCTTCCACCCTATTGAAGCTAAGCAGGTCTGGGGCTGGCCTGAGCTTGGAGGGGAGACCCCTGGGGAACCACATGTGGCCACCTTCAGTTCCACGAGGGGAGAAAGGTGGGAGAGAAACATAGTCAATAAAAAAGCCAGTGTCTCGATTTCCACACAGATGCTTGGGATTCTTCCCACTTCCTGCATAATATCTTCAAACCAGAACCACCAGCCATACATGCCATTCGCCCTGGGGATACCAGAGAATACCTGGAGCGTGTGCTCCCGCTGCCCCCCACCCCACCAAGAGCCAGTACCTGAAGCAGACGATGGCGATCACCACCACCGCTATCACGAAGACCAGGCTCGCGGTGGCCGACCCCACAATGAGCGGCAGTTCCTGGAAGCTCTTGCTGCTGGAGCCTGCTCGGAGGGGGAGAAGAGACCGGGAGAACGTTGGAAGGGCAGCTGCGGACAACACCAGGAGGGGCTGGGAGGAAGGGGCGTGCAGGAAAGGAGAGGGAGGGCGGGGAATTCATACCGTCCTCCACTGGTGTCCGGAACTCCATGGGGAAGCTGTACTGGCCGTAACCAGCCACTGTGCGTGCCCGGACCTGCACCGTGTAGGCCGAGTTGGGCTTCAGGCCTTCCAGGCGCACCATGTTCTTCTGGCTGGTGACCGTGTTGGCGATGCCGTCGCTCTGGCCCTGCTGCGGGAAAGTAGGGAAGGTGTGTCTCGGTTGGTCCAGCCCTCCTGTACTGCCGGCCCACGTGTGGGCACCTTAATCGTCGAAGCACTGAATGCTAGAGTTGGAAGGGGCCATGAAGGCCGTCAGACACCAGTTCACACCATCTCATTCAGACGGCCGTTCAGCCTCTTTCTGAATGTCTCTGGTTAACCCTAACAGAGGCAAAGAGTTTCGCACAACTTTTAAATAGGGGCTTCTCCTTCCAGTCCTTCATCATCATCATCATTCCTATCTCAAGCATTCAGAAGAGCACTTCATACGTATTATTCCAATAATCGTGACAACTGGGGATGCTTGAGGAACCTAATCGGAAGTGGGAACCTGTCGGATTCCCTGGCGTCGGCTTCCTGGACTCTGGTCCGCTTTGCAGCCGCCCAAATTCCTGGCAAGCCGGCCCAGCCTTTGCGCAGCGCTTGCGAGGAATCAAGCCCCCATGTGCTGAGCAGGTCCTCTGCTGCACCACCTGCGGAAGCCCCAACACAGCACGGAAGGGGACGCTGCTGGCGGTGGTGCAGGTCTCGCCAGGAACGGAGCCCTGCTTGGCAAGAAGAGCCCCTCTCCCACGTCCTCCTGCAGCAGCTTTTGCGCTGCTCCACCGGATGCAGAAGAGGGTTGCTGGCTGCACAGCTTCCATTCCGCAAGCCTCTGTGGGCTTCCGCTCGGCTCAGCTTGCTCTGCAGGGCCGGGCTGAGCATGTTCACGGACACAAGAGGGACAGGTTCCCGTAGGAGTCATCCCAGCCCTATGGCAACCCCTGTAAGGCCGAGCTGGGGATCTCTGGGAGTCTCAGCCCAGCCTACTTGGGTTTCTCCAGTGAGCACTCTCCTTCCCCTGGCCATAATCCCTCTCCGCAAACCACTGACTTGACTGGGGGTTTACCAGCACTGGGGCAGCCCCCTCCCGCACAGCCCTCCCCGCCTGAAATGCCTTGCCCAGGGCTTCAGGGCTGGGAGGACTTCAAGCTAAATGTGCTGGCCGTCTTCCTACTTTCGGCCCTACCCATTCCTGGAGCACAGCCCTGGAGTGTGCCTCTGGAACAGAATCCAGCCCTTGGGTTGCAAGAGGCGCTCCATCCCTGTTGCAGAGTTTGTTGGCCTTCTTATCCCCGCATCGCTGAGGGGCCAAAAGTGAGGCGTGGGGGCCTTTCTGGTTGCCTGCTCCCGTTCTTCACTACGCCAGGATGAAGCTCCTGCCCTTCTCACCGAGAAAGGAAGCATGTTCGGGACTGGCGAAACTGAAGAGAACCCGAACCCTAATGCTGGCGTGAGTCCTGTCCCTGCCGCAGGAGAAGCGGTACCTTTTCGAAGTACTTGATCTCGTAGTCCAGGATGATCCCGTTGGGCTGCTTGGGCGGCTCCCAGGAAAGAGTCATGCTGCTTCCCGTGCTGCCGTGCAGGTGCATGGTGGGGACAGCCGACGGCGCTGCAGGACAGTGTGGGGGAAGCTGGTCAGCCTTCTCAATCGCAGCAGGAAGAACAGCCGAGCACGGAACCCCAACCAGTCCTGCCCACCCCCCCCCCCATGGCCTACAAAGGCACCTGCAGCTTTCTGCCTCAGGCACAGACACTGGGCCGGGTCTGTCCTAGGAAAGGTTCTTCGAGGAACCTATGTGCCCAGACCCTGAGGTCAACTCTGGGAGTCCTTCTCCAGGAGCTCCTTTCAAAGGAAGTGAGGTGGGCGCTACCAGGAGGGGGGCTTTTGGCTGTGGTACCCCCGTGGTAGCATGAGCTTGCCCAAGCAGTGTGCCCGGTGCCCAATTTGTATTCTTTTCAGCACCAGTGAATACATCCCACTATTTTAATCGTTTAATATTTAAATATTGCTGTACATACTCCATTTTATTCAGTCCCTCTGCTATGCTTCTGTGCTGAGTCATAGCAATTGCGATTGCCAGTACAGCTTTATTCTTTTAAATGAATGTTTTTGTGTGCTTTTTTTCACAATTATTTAATTTTAACTTTTGTTAATTGTCCAGAGAGCTTCAAGTATTGGGAGGTATAAATGAAATCAACCAATCAATAATAAAGATAACTGCTGAGACTTGAGCGAGCCCTTGCGATAAGCTGGTTCCCGCACAGCCACTGCTAAGAACTCAAGAGCCAACTCGAGTTCACCTGAGCACATCCAAAAGTTCTCCTGAAACAGGCAGGAGAACATAGCCGCCTGGCAGGAAAAGTCCATCCATCATCCCAAAGCAAAGCCGTTTTCAGCCTCTTCTGAGGCACATATCCCAAGACTATCCTGCTTCTGAAAAGCTGGCATCCCATCACAAAATTTGCCAACAACTGCATGGGGACTGAAATGAAAGCTTCTGTGTATCAGCTTGGTCGGGGGATCCTGGGACATGTAATCCAACCCATCGGGGGGGGGGGCAGCTTACAGAAAGACTGCCCTACAAAAATGGGGATTGCAGCAGTTTGACTTCTATCTGTTCCTGGATCCTTCTCCTTTTCAGCCAGCTTTCGGACTACTAACTAGACGGTGTCAGAGCAGGCACAGAAATTCACCCAAATGCATAAACCATCAGTCTTGGTGCAGAGCTGCCAAGGCCAAGAGTTTAGAAATAAGGAGCAAAGCCCGCATGTCTGAACGCTTCAGACGATCACCCCGAACTAGAAATGTGTGAGGAACCCATTCTGGGAGTGGGGATCTGCTGGATCTCCTGAGCTCAGCTCCTCCGACTCCCGCTTGCTTTCTCTCTGCTCTGAGCCTGCCTTACACCAAGAATCTGCATGAGTGCCTGCCGGGACATGAGTTTAGGAGGCGTGTGATGCTGGCTTGCACACACACGGCTTGCTTATTTATTAACTTATTTCGTTCATTTACTTATTTGCCCGGCAGCAAAACGGCTCTCTGGGCAGTTAGCTCTGCTTGCTTGTCTACCGTGCAAGGGCAGTTCTGCTTCCACACAAGCGACTTGCAGGTTTTGTGCACACTGCATCCTTTGGAGGAAGCATCACACACTTTGCACAAAGAAGCCGCTAATCTTCCCAAGCACTTGCAGCCTTGATCTCAGCTCACTTCCTGGACAGGGCCGAGGGCAGGAGAGTAGTCCAGCGAGCGGGAGAGATCCAGATCCCAGGCAGATCTTTGCACCCCTTCCAGACCTTTGCACCCCTTCCACCAACACATCTGCATTCTTTGCAAGATCAGCCTCAAGGCATCGGTAACACCAAAAGCCAGATTCCAGGGCGACGACCAGGCTTCAAGTTCAAGGCTGCACCCAGTGTGGTGGGACCCCGACGCCACTGGCTCAGCGGGGGGGTCCTCGCACCCTTTCCTGGGGACCGAGGGGAGAGGCAGCACTTCCCACGAGGCACTCACCTGCCTGGTTGGTGGTGATGTTGACGGAAGCGAACTGGGGGCTCTGCGGGTTCTTGTTGGAGACGCCGTTCACAGCCTGGATCTCGAAGGTGTACTGCGTGTGGGCCATCAGGTTGCTGATGTAGATGTGCCTCTCCGTCAGGCCGAGCTGGCGGGGGACGAACTCCACGTTGTCGTCACAGCGCATGCACAGCCGGCGCTCCACGCTGCACTTCTTGCAGATGACGTTGTAGAGCAGGTCGTCTCGGCCGCCCGAGTCCCGCGGTTCACTCCACTCCAGCACCAGAGACGTCTCGTTCACGTTGGAAATCACACTGCGAGGGGCCGTGGGGACACCTGCAAGGGGTCAGAGGCACTCAGGCTAGGGTTGCACCCCTGAGGCTCAAGAACGGGGTTTCTCATCCCTTTCTTCTCCACCAGCATACTTGGAAGCTGATGGGGCTTTAAGTGCTGCGTGGGAATTCCACAAGCCAGAGTGAAAACTGCCTCCCCACATTCTCCAGATTCTTTCTGGGCTGTAAATTCTGATGCGTATTTATTTATTTAAAACATTTCTAGGTGCAGGAGCCCTCCCAGTTTTGTTTAATATTCTTTCAGTCAAGTCAGAGTTTTGCAAATGTGTGTGTGTGTGGGAAATGAAGCAAATAATCTTCTAAGAAATGTAGGCTCAGTTAATACTGAATGAAACAATATCGTTAGTTTATACTATTGGATAAAAAGAAGCAGTAGGCTAAGACAGTAGATTAGGAAGAGTAAGGGACAGCCCTTTTGCTGCCTTCAACAATATTAGAATAATGCACAGTTACATTGGAAATTCTCCACCCTATTTACTGACAAGGAAACCAAGGATGAGATTTTGCTGAATATTCTTTCAGGAAGGATGGAAATTCTCAGTTTTGGAGATGCTTGAAACAGAACATAGACAAACATTTATCTTCTGATAAAATTTGGGCCTGCCCTAGATCACATTTATCTCTGCAGGCTTTACAATGATCCTGAAAGGGAAATGACAGAAGTAAAGCCTTTACAGCAACATTCACAGTGGTTTGGAACCTCCCTCGGGGTTTCCTGTGCAAAGGAACCCTCAGGGGTCAGGGAAGGCTGGTTTAGTTTGGACCAGGAAGGAGTGGCTGCAGGAAGCACCTACTGGGTAGCATTGATGGCTTCACCAACCCCATTCATGCCATCCAAATATGCAAGCATTCTGGAAATGTTTGGGGATTCTTTAATAAGGTGATGGACGGGGGTAGAAATGAACCCACAGGGAGTTTTAAAACATAATGAGGGTGTGGTTGGGGGAAAGGGAAGGCAGTCCCCATAAAGAACAGGGCAAAAACCCAACTGACCCAGGGAAGTCTGGACCCAGGACCTCTGAAGTCACGGTCTAAAAACTCCCAAGCACCGACTCTGGCCCAAATGCCCACCTTGGCATTCTGTTGGCACCAGGGCAAGACAGTCCCCAGAGCAGAGGCATTTCAGGATATCTAATGGCATGATGCAGGCATCGACATCAGGTGCTTTTAACAGGTCCATTCCATATTAATTATGGTTTTAATTGTTAAAGTGTTTTTAAAGTGTTTATTTTGAAAAACTGTTATGGTTGCTTAATTGCATTTTATATTGTATTTTGGCCTTGCTTTAAGTACTATTGTGAACTGCTCAGACAGCTTTGCCTTTTGGGAGGTATAGGAAATCCATTAATCAGTCAGTCAGTCAGTCAGTCAATCAATCAATCAATCCAAAGTCTCATTTTCATTTGAGAGTTTCTCAAGCAACCCAGAGCCTCAGTGATTAGCATTACCCATTTTCTGCTTTGTACAACAAACCAGTCATGTATAAAGACAACTGCAAGGACCTTTCTAAAATCAGGGACTTTCCTTTCCTGCCCTCAAGGACTCATCAAAAGCCGAACATCTTCCAAAGAGTCCAAACCTGCCTTTCTGGGCTATTTCATGTATTACATTTTATTAGGCCTACAATGGCGATGTGCAATGAACACCCCTCTAAAAAAGCAAGGTAGGGCGCACTCCTATGTAAGTTTGGATGAGAAAAAGGCCTGAAACTCCCAGCATGCCCCAGCGGTGAAAGCCTCAAATGTGTATTATGCAAATACACCTGTCACAGAGCCAGAACTGGCTGCACTCACTTCCTACTGGGTGTCCACTGGTGACCAGTCCATGTTTGTCTCCAAACACACTATGCGAAAGAGGCCTCTGTGCGGATAACCTGCACTTCTCCCTTCCAGCCCGCTTACGTGCTTGCACACGCTTCCTCTTGTGTTCAGTGGGTCTCTAATTTGATTCCTGAGAGATTATATTTATTTAAAGACACCCACACTTCGTTCTCAGGCCCAAATGGAATAACAGGCCAAAAATGAATCTGTTAAGGAGCACATGTGCATCTTCTAAGGAGCGACTTACTGGTGCAGGCGCTGTCAGGGGGGTCCGTGTCCGCCCGGAAATAGTTGTTCCGGCAGGTGCAGAGGGTCGCTGCCCCAGAGCTGGTCCGGCTGTTGGGGGGGCAGGGGGTGCACATTCCTTCCCCTTGCTTCGACTTGAAGGTACCCGGACCGCAGGCTGCAAGAGAAAGCACAATGAAAGCGACCTTAGCTACCAGCACGCGAGAGAAGGTGGTGCGGCCTGTCGGTCGAATCTCAGGGACGATTCACAAGAACATCCGTCCCTCTTGCAAACTGTCTTTTGGTACCAACTTCTCCAGCTTTTCACGATGAAATCCCTCAATCAACAGAAAAATCGTGACCACTAAGCGGCCACTTCCATGTCCCAAATGAGCTGTTCACAGATCAAGCACAGGCACAACATTTTTAAACCAATTCAGAATGTCAGTTTTACTTCCAAAGCATGTGGGTCTGCCTGGTTCAGAGCTCTGAACGGGAGCAAACACCTGCTGAAAAGGTTTGCGAACTGTCAAACATGTTATTGGGTTCGACTCAATCCCATCTCCCCAGTTCATTTGACACAAATTTCACAATCTGGGCCAACTCTGGGAAATTGGTACCATTCTGATTCGACTTGCATAAATTTAGTGTGCCGAGGAGCAACAGGGACCCAACACAGGGAAAGAGGCACGGCAATGCTGAGAGCGTCTTTGCCATCTTCAAGGTAACGTTTGCCCATCTCTACGTCAGATCCAAGATTCAGTGGCATCGCTTCTCGTGTTGAATGGAAAGTTCCCTGGCTAATTTTTCTAGTTTGAAAGAAGCCTTGATGGGGATAGTGGGGAAGATTTTGTGAAAGGATTTTGTGGATTTTTGCCACCACACTGCACTGTCCTACAGTATCCTAACTCTGCTGTTGAGTACTGGGGTTTGGGGGGTTTTGTGTCCACAATATGTCCTGAAGAGAGAGCGGGACACATTACCCTATTTCCGAGTCCAACTCTCACTGGCTACCCACACGGCATTGACCTACAGCCAGATCAAGCTGAAGGCAAGGCTCTTTGCTTTCTCCCTGGCATTTTGTGGGTTCGACGCACGTGCAAACAGGCGTGCAAACTCGGCAGAAATGCAGGGCCCTTCCTGTACAGCCTGTGGATGGTGGCAAAAGTGGAGAAGCCGTTCCAGCGCAGCCCTGATGTCAAGTCACGCGTTCAAAGGCAAGAACTGGCAGAAAGGATCTTATCGCTCCAGCTGCAGGTGGAAGGGGTGACACTTTTGATCTGCCCTAACTTCAAAGCGCCTTGCAAACAGCGAGCCAGCAAAGAAGACAAACGGATGAGTCAGAATTTCATTTCAAAGCAAGGACAGGCATAGTTCTGTATTTTGCCAGGGTTGGGGATGGGGGGCGGGCAACCCCAGTCCAAGCAAGGCTGTTTCCTTTGCCCCAGTGCCCTCCCGCCTTGCCTGCCACTCATGTGAACCAAACCCCGGCTCCAGTGGTCATGTGCTAAGTACTTCATGTGCAAAGCACATGCATTTCTTTGGAAATTTTAGCCTGCTGAACCCCAGAGTGGCTTATAGAAAAATACAGTGCCATCTATAAAGCATCTGTTTTTTGCTAATCTATTTAGCGATAAATATTTATATTTATTTTATATTGCATTTTTTTCTAATGTATATATTTTAATTTTTATTAAATTTTTATTTATGTGGATTTAATTTATTGTTGTAAGCCGCCCCGAGGCTTTGGCGAACGGGGCGGCATAAAAATGTTTTAATAAATAAATAAATAAATAATAAATACTATCTACAGATAGTATTTATCACTAAATAGATAAGCAAAAATGTTCTCAAATATGTCAAACAGATGTTGGAAATGTAAACACAAATTTAAACCTGAAGATTTTTCTCTTTTTTTATTAGATATCATTCTTAATGATTTTGATAAATAGGCTATATATTTGATCTTACATATAATTACTGTGGTGAGGATTCTATTTGCTCACCACTGGAGGAGTGAAGAGCCACACATTGAAGAGTTGATCTTAAAAAGGACTTTGGACTGCATGGAAAGGGACAGATTGACCTTGTCTCTGAAGGAGAAGGAGGACGCGTATCTCTACCAAACTTGGAACTCTCTTTATTATCAGTTAAAGAAACGGGACTATGCGTAGATTTGAATATGGCTATTGACTGTTAAAAAGAGGAAGATGTCAACCCAGTATATCCGATATCTTAAATAACTGTTGTTTTTAATGTTAGATTGTAGAGAAAAATAATAAAATTTATTTAAAAAAATAAAAATACAGTGCCAGTCCTCACTCCTTTTTCCTATTTGCTTTTTCCTACTCTGTCCCTTTGCCTCTCAGGCTGAAATGCCTTTCCCATTAAATTTTAGAGAGAGCAAAATGATGCCACTTGTCTTCGATTTCTGTCTGCTCAATATCTCAGCCCCAAACCCTAGATTCTCTTGGCTCCACAACCCATATTTCAGGCTCTGCTTGCTAAGAATGGGCAAATGAGCACTCGTTGAGACTGCCAAGATTCTGAAAAGGTCTGTTGGCAGTCACCATCTCGATTTGCAACTGCTGTTCATTTTGCACAAATGGGAAAACTGCACAAAATGAGCAGGTATCACACGTGAAAGCCACTCGTGCATTTCCCAAATTCATGCACAATTCCAAATCTGTACAAATTTCCTCCATGGACCAAAGCATGCATGATTTAAAATGTGTGCATTTTGAAAAAGTTGTGCATTTTGAAAAAGGTGAACGCCATGCATTCTGAGAAGCTGTGCCTTTTCAAAGTGTTGGGCATTTTGAGAAAGTTACAGATTTTTCAATTAAATATTCTCTTGGCATGAAGTCAAAAACCAGGAATTTGCAAAGATTTCTGGACAAACACGGCTCCCTTTTGTGCTTGGCATTGCAAACGGGGCATTTTCGAGCAATTTGAAAACAGAAACAAGATTCTCATCCACACTCCTTGCTAGCATTCCTCTCACTCACATCTCTCGCCAAACCCCCTCATCCTCACCCGTGAGCCCTTACGGTACACATCCCTGTGCAAAATGAAGTCTCCGCTAGTTTTCGCACAGTTGTGTCATCTTGGGATGGATTTGTGGCGGTGGCCCTGAGCTACTCTCATTCTCTGACTCAGGTCTGCCATGCATCAAATGGAAATAAGATGCGGCTTCAACCCACAGTTTTGTTGTGGACAAGAAAAGAAAATTGCAAAACTCTTTGCAAATTAGAATCCGTAAGAGGCTGACTGGACCCAGGTGTCCCCCATCCCAATGTCCCCCCCGCCCCGTCATACTGATTTAAAGCGCCTGCCCCACGCTGCACTCCTCTGCCAATCCCCATATCCACAAAATTTATATCTTGGTCAGCTTCTACTTAGTGGGAGCTTGACAGAGGAATCTGCCTTGCTAGAACATTTTGAGGCCCTTAAATCTTCCTCTGTGTCATGTGGAAAGATTCTTTTTTATTTCCAGAGGCACTGGTAGAAGCACCCGGCCTGTTTAGGGTTGGGTGTGGGTTTCTTTTCTTTTTTAACTACAGCAGAAATCCCGGCAGAGAAGGGAAGCTGCTTGCTCTGGGATGCCTTCTGACCTCGGTGTTGTCCCCGTGGACCAAACTGACAGCTGCTGAGCCACTGGACTGAGAGTGCCAAGAGGTTTCCCTTTTCACCCTCCAGTCCCCAAGGCCCGGAACAACCAACCACATTCATGGCAAGGTTTGCCTGGAGGGCTGGATGAGTCATTTCTCTTCTCTCCTCCTGCCCTGGGTTAACATTAATTTGTATTGTTATATATGTACATACATATATATTCTTATGTATAAATACATGCATATGTATACATACATACATACATACATACATATATTCTTTTCAGTGTCAGGCAAAAACCTTTTGATTTTCCCATTATTTTAATGTTTAATTGTTTTTAACTAGGGCTTTAGTATATTCATGACCAGATGCCGTGGGGTTTGTTTTATTCTACTTATTTATTGTAAGCCGCCCCGAGACATTCTGTAGGGGATGGGATAGAAAAGCATTTAATAAACACACACACACACACACACACACACACACACACACACACACACGAGAGCAAGAAGAAAGAAGTAGAAATGGACAGATAGGAGGACAACATGCATTTGCTTTAATAACTTCACTGCTGACTACTTTAATTGGTTCAAATCATTTGAGTGATTGACGGAAACTTTTAAATTGAAGATCTGAACTTTTAAATGGCACCAGTGCAACTGAACATGGTGAGTCAAGAGTCATATGGACCCCCAAATCCCATGAATGCATGAACTCCCTATGAGAGACTGTGAAAGACTGCACATTTGGACTTTCCAATCATAGCTTAATGAGCAGAGATGTGGATGAGCATTTCTGCTGAGCACACAGTTGCTTTGCTGCTTGCTTTGTGTGGTGGACAAGCAATGAAATCAGAACACCAGGAAACTCTAGTTTCCCATTGCAATAAACCCAAGAAATTATGGTAGATGGCTTCAGAATGGTTTGAAGTTGGCTTAACGTCCTAGCTTGTTCCAAGCCCTTAACCACAGTTTCTAGTTGGGATAAAATGGGAAACAGCATTCAGTGGACAGCTTCCTGCTTCATTTGCTTGTGTGAAGAACAGGATGTCCAGCTAAAAGTCTCAAAGGTGAAGCAAGAGGATGGCTCCAAACACAGCTGCTCTTTCCATCAGTTTTGCAGCTTTCAGAGCTGATCTGCACATGATACTGAACTCTGGACTATGCCAGCTAGACTGCACATCTCCCTGCTTTTTCCCACTGATTCTTCCATCTTTTTTTCTTTCTTTCTATAAAGAACCTATTCAGAATGAAAAGCCAAAATCGCTGCACAGTTGCTATTTTGATTACTGGTGCTAGGAGCAATCAAAAGGAAAGCATGCTAAAGCTGCCATGTGAACCATATCAGGAAAAGAATGGGGCTTTTCTGAGTAGACATGCCTAAGTCCTGCTGGATTTGCTAAGACTTCCAAATACACCCAGAGGATCAAGCCGTGAAAAGCATCTTTCACTGGTTGACAATCTTGGGTTTGCAACGACTATTAGGACAGCTTCCCAGGACACTGAGGCACAACAGGGAGCCAGAATTCACATGGCAGGTGAAATTCGCCCCGGTGTTCCCATCCAT